CCACTTGCGACTTCCACTCGTCCACGCCGTTTAGTTGGCTGAGGGTTGTGTGGCTGCCTGGCACGAGGGTCTCGATTGTGTACACGTCGGAGGGGTGCGAGACGGCGAGGTTGGGGGTTGGGAGGGGCTTGGCGGCTTGCACTTCGGCTTGCATGGCGAGGGCCTTGGCGAGGCCGGAGGCTGTGTCGGCGGGCAGCGAGGAGATGAGGGCTGCGCCGGCTGTGGGGACGGCGCCGGCGGGGGCGTTGGAGAGCTGGGCGTTCTCGGCCATGGATTGCACGGCCTTGCGGGATTGTTTGGTGCCGAAGGTGTTGGTTAGGGCTGTGCGTTGGGCGCGCATGGTGTTCTGGTGCTGGTTGTTAGTTGGGTTCTTATGTATGGAATTGCGGGTGGGAGGACGTACCATCTCTTCGTCTGAGTCTTCCTCGGGCCTGCGGCTTCTCACTGTTCCTCGCAGTGTGGCTCGTCGTACCTCCACGATCTTCCAGGTCTTGCTCTCTGGGTCAATGACTGCGACGTAGTGCTTTACTTGCGAGTCGGTATCGTCTCCTTTGCCTTCACGTCCGACAAAGTCTAGCTTGGCATGCTCCGAGGACTGCAGCAGAATCTCCGAAGAGGCAATGCCCGGGTTCCGAGTCGCTGCCGCAGACTTAGAAACATTGCCGCGGCTTTTGATATATGGGTTCCAGTGGAGAGATTTCGAGCTTTGAAGGCCGGGTGTATCGGCTATAATGCGAACATTCGATTAGAAATGCTTTGCTGTCTGGATAAAAAGCCTTCAACTCACTAATTACTGGTGCCAGTTCGCTCTTATCTTCAACAACGCTGGCGGCCAGCGGGGGCAGCTGGTGCAGCGCAGGCTTTTTGCTTGGACGGTCATTGTCTGATGCGCGCTTGCGCTTGTGATCTGTTTTATTGGACGGCATTATGGCGTTAGGGACGAGAGACAAAAGACTGTAGCTCTTGAGAATCGGCTTTAGCGCGGTGAAATAAAATGTCTGGACTTGTCGGGCAGAAAATTTTACGAGCGGAGACTAGGCAGGCGGTGAGTCTATAGGCTTTCCGCACAAAGGAATATTGACGTACATAAAACGTCGAGCTATCGCAATTGTTTCGATAGAATAAGACAGGTATTCAGGTGGTGGCTGTGCTGCAGTTTACATGTTTACATTTACAATTAAGGAAAAAAAAGATGTTTTACTCATCAAGTCATCGATTCATCTGCAGTAGCTAAACCAAGACCTCCGAGTTATTCCCTGGATTTTTGATAAACTCCCGGAAGGACCTCTCCACATCTTTTGACCAGCCCGAAGGAAGGCCGTAAAGATAATGAGAATTGACCAGTCACCCCAATGCCGTGCTCAAAAGACCGATGGGTTGCACCAATCCTCCAACATCCACCTAAACACAAGAGCCCCTCCGAGTAATAACCACGCATGACATCAGATCGTAGACGTTAAATGAATCCGAGGTGTTGGAATGTGGGTAGACTGTTGTTGTAACAGCGGATTCCGTCGTTCGATCTGCGATCTCTTCTGATGATAGGTCGGAAATCTTGACCGTGCAGGTAACTCGTTTGGATGAGGGGCGTGTCACGAAGAAACGAAAGTCGCAACGTCGCGTCGTCAATTGTCGTGTTCAGCGTTTAAACATGAGCTCAGGCAAGGAGGGCTGAGATGGAGGGGGCGAGTAGTTTATTTGCTGATGTGGGAATTAGCATCTCGATTGACCAATTGGAAGCTCAATGGCCTTTTGCAAGACCATCGGCGAACAATGGAGTCACTTACGATCTGGCGCGCATCTTTCTGCGCTTGCGCTTGAGACGGCGAGTGCGCTTCTTTCTCCACTTAGCTCTCATCTTCAAACTGTTGGCTGGTTAGTGCATTGCTCTCGATAATATTATCAGCTTCGGAAAAGCTACTCACGATTTCGAGGATGAAACAGAGATAGTAGAAAGAAAGACGAAGTGAGGCGGGTCTGAGATGCATTTACGTATCGTGCGGCTGACTCATCCACCCTCGCTTAGACTCCGCACGTGACAGCCCAAGCTTCCATCCGTGACGACACATGACCATGCCTGATTAGGAAATTTGATAGGGTTTCACTCCATACAGCTGTTTAGGCTGCAAACGATTTGAAAATAATTTATGTAACGTATCAACTACGAGTGATGATTGTAGTGTAATGATGTTAGTTCAATTGAATTCTCATGAGAAGAGCAATGCCATTACTATTATTCAATAGCACATGTATCATATAGCTCCAAAATAGAACTAGTGAGGCTTTTGATGCCAACATTTCCGCTTGGGTATAGCCAGCCGTATGTTAAATAAACAAATATACCAGAAGCTTCATCACTCATGAATTTTCGCAAAATCTGCAAGACAGGATCCACAGAAGTAAAATGACAAAAGGTCCGTCATACAAAAGTATCTATACAACCTGGAGATTTTCTCAGTATGTGTACCGATATGTGGGCGCCATATCGCCGAGATATTCCACTTCATCCTCGGGAATCGCATCAGGGTCAACCGCGGCGCGGTCACGCTTCTTGTTCTCAATCCACAGGGCCAACATGTAGACTGAACATGCCAGACCAGCGAGGCAAATGAACGAGAGGCAGATGATGTATCCGGTTCGGAAATCTGTGACACCATTCTTTACAACAAAAGAGTATGTAGCGATGATTCCACCGATATTTCCGAAGCCAATCTGCCACGCGGTTCCCACGCTGCGTCGATGATGGCCACCCAAATTCATGGAGAACCAACATACAATGACAGGCATGGCGCTGTAACAGCCACTGGTGAGCATGAAAAGAGCACCATATTGGGCACTATTATTGGTATGGATTGTCATGAGCATGATAAATCCGATCAGGGCGATCGCCATTGGGATCAAGGTGAAAGCGAATCGGTGTCGCAGTCGGTCAGAGCAGAAGGCGACTACCATTGAGAAGCCGAATGCTGCAGCCCAGGGAGGAATGGAGTACAGCTGGGTTTTGATTGGACTATAGCCGTATGTCTGGATAATCGACGGCGCGAAGTATGCATATCCTGTATGAGAGTGAGCGATAACTCGGAGGTAGTGAAAGAAGGAAGTTGTACGTACCATAAGCGGGAACAATCAAGCCGAAGTACATAAACCCTCCGATAAAGACCTTGTCTGCGGGAAGTCAGCGCACTGCAGTTGAATACAAGATCAACCAGGCTATACTTACAGTCCTTGAACACACCCAGAATCTCGCGCTTGCCCATGTGAATGTTGCTAGCAGACTTGCCGACATCCTTGGCCAACTTGGCACGCATGTATGCGCGCTCTTCCTCATTCAGCCACTTAACATCCTCCGGGAAATCAGCAATGAAAAAGAACAGGATAATCGCGACCACACTCGTCAAAATGCCCTCGATAATGAACACCCAGCGCCAACCACTGTAGCCGCGCATGCCATCCATATTTGCGATTCCGCTAGCAAGCAGACCACCGAAGGCACCGGCCAGGGAAGTGGAGCTGAAGAAGAAACTGAAACGCTTTTGAGCCTCAGAGCGAGTGTACCACATGCCCAACAGATAGAAACCTGACGATCACAATTAGCACCTAGCTTAGGAGGGGCTGTTAGGGTTTGCACTTACATCCAGGGAACATGCCTGTCTCAAAGACACCCAAAAAGAATCGAGTGGCCATCAGTCCACCCCAGTTCTGTACCAAACCCTGGAAGAGCAAGACCAAGCCAAACATGAACATGCATCCCGACACTGAATTCTTATTAACAAGCTGTCGCACGGGGCGTAAAGGAACCAAAATACTTACGCCAGACATGGGGCTTCAACTTCTTGAGCAAAATGTTTGAAGGAATCTCGAAGATAATATACGGGACGAAGAAAATTGTGAGCGCGGTGTTGTATTTTGTTCCAGTGGTGATGTTCAAGTCCTCCTTAAGTCCGAGAATAGCGGCATTGCTGATATTAACTCTGCACGATGATGTCAGATACAACCTCGGAAGTAACCCCTGCTTACACAAAAAATTATGCTTACCGATCCAAAAAGGCTAGCAAATACAAAATACACAGACAGGGCAGAATGTGCCAGTCGACCTTGGCCTGCAGTTTGCGCGCAGTAGTAGTTGTGAGAGGAGGCAGATCAAAGTCCGTAGAACTGATCTGACTTTCGCCCTTGTCAATGGGTTCGTTGGTTTCAATTGGTTCTGCGTGGGGGAGAGTACGGTCAGCACAATTTTGTAGCAACGATGCGCTCGCGCGAGTGGAATGACTCAGCCCTTAAAAGGACGAAAGAAAGAAGTCGGGGTTAGATCTATAGGATTGTGTACATACCTGGGACACCCATGATGAGATGTAAATTGCGCCAGAACACTGCGCAACTATTTGGAAGGACTAATGATAGAGGGGAAAAAGGAAATCCAAGGGGGAAAATGGGCCTTTTGAAGATCGAAATCCCTAGCTCAGCTCGCTCGCCGATGCAGGGATGCTACCCCAGGATGTCCAAGCCCGATCTCGGCCTATTCGCCGATATGCATGCCGTATTTTTTTTTTGCTTTTTCACGCCATTTTAGTTGCTTATCTATGGCCAGCGGGAATAAATATCCCATTTCTCTTTCAAATCTTATTTTGCCCTTACTATTACTCCGTACGGAGTACATAGAATGCTGTTGGAATATTCTCCTTTCCCCGCAAAATAACTATATTTTGAATCACGTGATTCAAAAAAAAAGGGGTCTCGCGGCCCGACTAAGCAAAATCTCCACTTGCCAGGTGACCATCGGCATCCTTCTAAGTGCGGGGTGCATGTAATCGGAGGATTTTGGTTGAAGCAGTTGATTACAAAGGATTTGGTCTAAGACTCGGAATTTAATCTATTCAATGTATTTATGCTCGATTTATACCGTCTGACTGTGTTCTTATTTTGCATATATTTGTTAGTTATACAACATACATCTATCGTATCCCGTCCCGGAACATATATTAACCATCCTACCACATATTTCATGCCTCTTTAGCCCATTGGTTGCCACTCCATAAACCTCCCGTGGTCCAGAGCCAATAGTCCCGACCTTTGATTAGCCACACCAGTAGACTGGGTAACTGCCAGCCCATGGCGGTGCCCACACCTTTGCTCTTTCCAATTGGCACAAGCTGAGTTTCGCGGGTATCCTCCTTGAACACGCGATCAGTTCCGACAGCACTTTCTTCCATCCCCTCGGCAATGAGCAGATCCCGTTTAATATTCGCACACAGAGTCGGGACCGTATTCAAGATATTGTGCACTGCCGGACGGGCATGTGATCCCACATCACCAACCGCGTAGACTCGCGGGCCAGCCTTATCCACACGTAGAGTGAATACGTTAGTCTCTACCAAGCCACTGTCAGTCAACAATGACTCATGCACAAATCTGGTATTGGGCGCTGCGCCGGTAGCCGGAATATAAAGGTCGGCCCCGAATGTCTTGCCGTCTTCCAAGGTCACTGTCGCATTGGTCGTCAGAGCACTCTCAGTTCCTGCGTCAGGTGGTGAGACAGTTGCAACGCGTGAGCCCTTGAGCACAGTCACGCCGACCTGCGCGAGGAATTCCTCCGCCTTCTTCACGATCGCGGGGCGCAAGACTGGGAGTATCTTCGCGCCCGTCACTAGTGTAATGGGCACCTTGGGATTCTCCAGTTTAGAGCTGAACCAGCCAGCCCGACCGTTGAGATATTCGCCTAGTTCACCGGCTGTTTCGACACCAGTCGGACCTCCACCCACGATGACAATGTGTTTGGCATTGGGGAGAGCTGCGCGGAATGTGTTCCAGCTCTCCCGCAGGGACTCGGAGTCGCCATTCAGTCCTTGTAGAGGCGATGACAAGCGCATGGTATCCAATTTTCTCTGTATCGTCGTCCTTAAGGCTCACGGTGACATGACGATCGGCGTGGTCGAGTGCTGTCGCGGTACCTTGTATGAAACGGAATGTATCGTTCGGATATTGCTCGAACTGCTGTGGTACACTGACAAAGAGCTTCTCTTTGGGGAACATGTGATCTGAGATCAATGCGCGGGGACAAGCCGGGCGACATATGGCCTGCGACGAGGTGCTGACGAGGATGACCTGATAGCTCTCTTTGTTGGGCAACTTGGGGACAACATGTTTAAGAAGGTAGTGTGCCGTGGATATGCCCCCGTAGGAACTGCCCAGGATGACAAGATTCTTGTTGCTAGAATCTTGAGCCATTGTTCCTAGGCAATGAGAACTTAGAAGAGTGATGGTCTAATATGTAGAAAGCTGGGGACTGAAGGGCTAACTACATATAGATAAAGATACGCATATTCCAAGGTTAATTGTTCATTGCCAATCGAAATTATTCCTTTTATCTGAGCAGGCTCCAGGATTCCTTTCCCTTCCATGGATGCCTTCTTAGTACTTTTGATACACTCTATGAGCATTTGGAAGTCCTGCGACAACCGGATTTCACCCGCACCCCATCAAATATAGATAAGCACTCTTAACTATATGTACATCACTAATACAGTAAAAATATACAAATTAGTATATGTAGGTAAATGGCTAAGGAATCCAATGCATTTAATATTTAGTGTAATAACTCCTTACTCTGCGCGTAGTCTTCCGCATAACCCATTTTGGGTCGAAGGTCGCGACCCAGACCCAGTTTCTGTATAAATTGTGATATAAATATTTAAATAATATACCGTTATATTCCTCTGTTTTGGTTCCTATATCGAAATACTCATTCTCTCCTAGACTGCGACATCGCCCGTCCATGAGCCTTTCTAGACCTTGCCAACTCCCACCATTTGGTCTCATAGGACTCCTATATGGTCCTATGGAAGTGAGGTGCCTAGTCCGGTCCCATACGAGACGGTGCCGGCTACCAGGAGTCACCAGTTGGTGAGAATGACCTGAGTCAGACAGTAGGTGCTTGTCATGATCCAAAACCGTGTGCCAATTCACGAATTGAGGATATTGCGTGATTCTTAAAAGCCTAAATAGCTAGCAAAATCCCACGCGCTTGCTCTATGAAATTTGTAGAGCTTCGGGAGCGAATTGGTGGCATAGTGGGTGGTTGAATTGATTAAGTGCTAATTCCTGGACGCGTTTTGTTGGGGGTGGGCGACTCTACCCAATATAGGCGTGCCTATTGGCCTTTGGCCTAAGGGTCAAAACGCCAAAGGCCCACCGTGGATGGGCCTTGGGCCCCTCTTAGCGCCTATAGACGGGCGATATCGCAGTCTAGGTTTAACCCATTGGGTTTTGGGTCGGATGCTAAATGGGTTCTGCCGAAGTCTACTCCCAAGGCACCGGGAGCCTCAGGTATTAATCAGGCAAGTAACCGGAATTATCTTATTCCGAAGCAATGCTAGTCGTAGGCCCCGTCTCCGCAACTCGAAGTCAATCCTAAATCGCTGTGGAACCTTGCCCAGGTGGAAGCGAAAAGCTTAGATGGCTTGCTAGCTTGCCATTCGCTTGATGATATCCATCTATAAACTCGGGCCGAGTAATACGTTGGAAGAAATTATCTCAATCAAAAGCATAGTCTGCTCAAATTGGTTCTGACTCCATATAACCTGAAAAGCAATTCTCCACTAGTCTATCAATGGGATTTATCTGATGATAGCAATGATTCTTTCCCCACCATTCACTCTTGAACATCCATAGCAGCATTAACCACCTTTGCTGCTAAGGCATTGATACTGGTACGTGGATCCAGCAGATCTACCATGCTGATTTTGGATCTCAGAGCCAAGTGGAACCAGTTGCGTAGCTCTGCCGCAATCAGACTATCCACTCCATGATCAGACACAGCGCGAGCCGTATTGACAGCTGATATATCCATCAGCAGCATTGTCGCGACTGTGATGGCAATTGAACTTGAGGTAAGCTGCAGCGCCAAGGCGCGCAGCTCAAGCTTTTCATTCCCGTCGGAAGCAGTCCTTGCTTTGTGAACTGCATCATCAAATTCGCGCCGAGTTCGTGCAGTGGCTGATCTTCCACTTTCCAAGTCTCCGGTGGATGTGGTGTTCTCATCTCCTTGATTATGGCGCATCGCGTCCTCAAATCCACGAATAACGTGCGATACCCGCGCATCACCGTACCACCGTGGCTGGGCTGCACTGCGGACTCCCATTTCGGTATTCTCTCGCTCCTTCCGGGCCATGTGCGCCGGGTCCATGTAGGTCACATATGTCGCAGCTGCTAATGGGTCAACTGCAGCCCCGGTGGATTGCAAGCCAACATCGCCGAGGAACGCTGGTTCGAGAAGGCGAAGGAAGTAGCTTTCTGGCACGGTAAGAACCTTATTCCGAGTCATCAAGTCGAGTGTCAGGGTATCAGTGCTAAGGTGACCAACATCGTTGACCAATCCGAACTGGGCGGCTGTAGCGGGAAGGCCATGGCGGCGGCGATAGCGCGCAAACTGATCCTGGAAATTGTTGGCGGCTGTGTAGGCACCCTGAGTTGCGAAGCTGAGGACGGAGAGGATTGAAGTAGTCATGACAAAGAAATCCAGTTGGAGAGCCTTCGAGGCCTCGTGCAGGTTCCATGTTCCGCTCACTTTGGCAGCGAGACCATCACGCCAGCCCTCGGGGGAGATCTTGTGGAAGGAAATGTCCTGATAGGAAACCGCGCAGTGAACGATCCCTTTGACGGGTCGAATAGATGATGCTTCGTTGATGGCCCGCACAACCTGCTCCGAGCTGCTCAGATCACAGGCGACAGGGTGGACACGCACGCCGTGCTTGGATAGAGCATCGACGAGTGTCTGAGCATCTGGAGCATGAGGACCACGACGAGACAAGACTACAATTTCTTGAGCACCTCGGCTGGCCATCCATTGGATGATCGACCGTCCCAAACCACTCAGACCGCCGGTGACAACATAGCAAGCTTGGGGGTCAAATCGGGCCGCCGGGGATGCCGGCACCATCCGGACGAGTGTGTTAGAATCCTGGAAGCTCACGACTTGCTTACCAACATGAGTTCCCTTGGAGAAACTGAGAAGCGTCTGCTCCAGCTGAGAGATATCTGAGACTGTCATAGGATGAATGGGACGGATGTTTCCAGCCCGATAGTGCTCATCCACAGCTTGCATGAGGTCAGCTCCAAGCTCCAGGTCACATTGCACCAGCCGAGCGAGATCGAAGGACGAAAAGCTGGCACTCTTCTGGAACAGTTCCAGACCAATCTCCCTGGCACCATTGACATCCAATCGACCGAGATCAATGAGATGGCCCAGGGGGGCAAGCGCCTTGATGGATTCATACAACGCGTCATCCTGGGCTGTACTCAAAATCACATCAAAGCCACCAGTGGCAACGGTGGCTCGCGCCAACTCTTCCGGCTCACGCGTTAATACATGTGAAGGCGGTAGGCAAATCTCTTCGACCAAAAAGCGCACTTTTTCTGGCGTACCGACCATGGCATAAACGTCTGCCCCCTTGGCTTGTGCCAATTGGATTGCACCGAGACCGACACCACCGGACGCAGAATGGATCAGAACTTTTTGGCCCCGGCGCAGACGTGTCAGATGCTCAAATGCATATACAGCCGTCATGAAGACGACCGGCATTGTAGCCATCCCGAGCAGATCGTCTCCATCACGCGCCTTCTGCGCAAGGGCCCCAGGCACGCGCGTGTAGTTACCAAAGTGGCCCTCGCCCAGACCATATACCGAGTCGCCCACGGCAAAGCGAGAAGCCGCTTCCGCGCCGACGCTGGTGATGACACCCGAATATTCAGAAGAAAGGTTGTTCATATCAAAGCGACCCGTTGCGAGGGCCAGATCCTTCCAATTCAGGCCTACGCCGGCAACTTTGACCTCAATCGAATCCCGCGGAAGAGGTTGGGTCAGCTCGGTGTACGGCTTGAAGTACAGCGAGCTCAGCATCCCTGGCGTCTCAAAGGCGGCGCGCACCGCTCCCTGACTGTCAAGGGGCAAGAGCTGGGCGCTGTGAGTTGCTGGCGTCTGATCGCGCTCTGCATATCCTTGCAACGCAGCCTCGGGCACCAGCCGACTCACCCACAGGCAGCCACTGTGCCAGGCGAACTCGCGATCTTCACTTTGGTCATCGTTCGGCCGCTGAAGTTCTTGTTCCTTATCCACAAGAGTCCGAATCAGCTCGCTTGTATCAGCTTCTCCGACATTGAAGTGATCCGCATCGATGTCGATAGAGAAGAAGCGGCCTGTTGGTGCCTCCGTTGAGATCGTGCGTAGGAGGCCTCCCACCACTGCTCCATCGGGGTTGCGGCCCTGAGCCATGCCAGTTGATGTCAACCACACCATACTAGCCGTGTTGTGTGTGAGGTACTTGAAGATGTCCAAGGTAGAGTCGCTGGCATCCAACAATAAGTTCTCGTCATCTAAGAAGGCAATCACTCGTGCATCGGAAGGCAGCTTGGCCAGGACGCTATCTAGCGACACTGTCTTTGTGACTAAGTTGCGACTCTCCAGCGTATTTGCGAGCTCTTTCAAAAGGCCTGGAATTCTCTTTCCATGGAGCAGCCAGACCTCCCCGGACAAAGGAGAGGTGTCTGGGACGATGCGAGTCGAAACCAGGACATTCGAATGCGCTGTCGGGGATGGATAATCATCCAGAGACACATCTACTCCTGAAAACCCAGCGGACTTAAGGGCTTCATTCCACCCGTTGATATCTAAGAATGGGCTGTCAATGCGTCGATCCTCGACCCCGTGCCAGTAGCCAGCCTGGGCGCCGCCGATGAGCCCGACCCAGGCGCTATTTCCTGTGACCTCAGCAAGAATGAGCTTGCCACCAGGCTTCAATAGTTTGCTGGCATTTTTTAGAGCAGTAACAACCGACGAAGCCGTGTGGATGACTTGCGAGGCAAGAATCACGTCGTAAACTGGTTCATACCCCTGTTCAAGTGGGTCCTGCTCGATATTCAACACAGAGAACTCGACATCCTGGTAGCTGGTAAGCTGGCCTTGAGCCCTCTGGAGTGTGGTCTCGGATTTGTCTGTCACGGTGTAATCCTGGTAAGACTTGATGCCGTTGGTGGTGCTAAGGGCATCTAGCACTAAGCCAGCCACACGTCCCCGTCCTCCCCCCAGCTCCAGGATCTTGGTGTTAGGTTCAGCATGTCCGATGCTGCGAAGGAGCTCTGTGATATGGGGATAGGCACCAGTGAGAAACAGGGCATCATCGAAGAAATCGGCTAACAGTCCATCCTGTGCTAGGACCTCTTCGCCGGTGCTC